TATTCTCTGTGGCGCCCCCTAACAGGACCAGCCGAAAGAAGAAGATAAATGTGCAAAAATGTTTGTTGATGAGGTGATGCAGTCTTGTACTCATGTAACTTAATTATCTGAATTGTTTCTTGCTAATAGATTTGAGATGAATTAGTTGTTGCAGATGAGAGGAGAGTAATTGAGTCTATTGATGTTTTCTATACGAAGCAGATGAGATGGTTTAGTGGGTATTTATACATAAGCTGCACATGATCACCTTGCATCATGAAGATGAAAAATCTTCTTGGTGTCATTTTCATGAGATTTACTTTCTGATTGTGGAAAAAAATGTATAACAGAAGGCTGTGCAAACATTTTATGATAACAAGCAGTACTGCCACTATTCCAGTTCAGATATAACAAGTCATTGGCTGAATGTCTGTAGCCTACTACACAACGTACTGTAACACAGTGGTCGTTAACCTTTTATATGATGAAGTGATTCCATGACCCCACCCCCATGTTCTCTCTGCTGGACATATTCCTGCTCTGCTGTAGAGTAGCTGCTGGTCTCAGCCTTAAGTCCACAAGAATTCAACTCATTTTCATACACAGCTCATTAGACTCAGCTGTTAACTACATACAATTAACATTTTGTTTCCTTCTCACTCACAGCATTTTACTACATTCAGCATAATGAACACCAAATGTGTTTAGCGAATGAACACAAGACCAGGCATTTTGATCACGGGGACAGTGAAGATGTCACATTTGTGCAAGTTTGTTGTATTTTGGTTGTTCAACAGATGTTTGATTCATTACTCTCTCCATTACTGTTGGATTTTGTTGCACATATTGAGCGTTGACATCTCTATAAAAATGCAACCTTGTGTCTGTGTGAGGGGTGGAAGGGGCACTCTCAGATGCACAGCAGAACAAAGAAGCAGAGCTTGTCTTCATTACTTATCTTGACATTTCCTCAAACTGCAGAAATGTCTTCTCCTCCTCCTAACAACTTGCACAACCAGTGTTGGGTTAATGTAATGTTGCTGTTTAGTGGTATTGGTGTGTTGCTTCGAACAGCTACAGGGTGGTATTAGACCAGATGCCCGATACTGGACATCTCTGGTTTCATAGATGATCTCTAATGACATTTTGCTTTGTCATTGGTGTCTCATAGTCTCACCATGTTTCCTTGATTGTTGTCTCCTCTGCAGATACAAATCAGTAAAGCAGCGAACAGGCAGCACCCCAGGCCAAGCTCAGTCTGCAGGTCAGCCCTCCCAACCTCCCACCAAGCACAAAGCTGGAGGAGAGAAACCAGAGAAAGGCGACAAGCAGCAGAAAAGACCCCAGACACCCTTCCATCATCGTAGCCTGACCAGCGATGAGGCCTCAATAGAAACCGAGCCAGCAACAGGCCAAAGATTGGCCATGAGGGGCCAGGATGGGGGAAGATTCCCTAGTATTCGCTCTGCAGATGTGTCTGCTATCCAAAGAGCCCCCCAACTCCACACTGGTGGGGTCAGTGCTGGGACATCTGAACAAGTCAACTCCCCCCAACCACCACCACTTAGCCCCCACCCCTGCGAGCGTGGCGAGGAGTCAGGGGAGGGCATGAAGAACCTTTCAACCCCCAACAGCCAACACTTTTACCAGCCACCCCCAGAGCCCTGCCTGGCTGGGGTGAAGGGTGGTGGAGAGGAGCCCGGAGGGCCAGAAAGTCTGAATCAGCACTTCCATTCCCATCACCCCCATCCTGGAGTCTCAGCCTTTTCCGAGCCTCCTGAGCCCACTGTGTATGTAGGCGCAGCGGTCAACTTAGAGGAAGACGGCTCCCATGCTCCATGGAGATTATTCAACCTACCCCGCAGGAAAGAACCTGACGTGCCCACACCACTGTTGCCAGGAGACAAGCTAAGGGATGAGGCCTCAGTGTCGCAGGACAGCTTGGTGTCGGTCACAGAGTGAGTGACATCTGCCAATTAACAATCACTATTTGATGTCCTCCCTCTCTGACATGTGTGCACACATACTGTACATGTACACTCACCGGCCACTTTATTAAGCATAAACTTTATTGCCGAGTATTATTAAAAATACAAGGAATTTGAGTCCTTCCCAATGGCCCCCTATGTGCACAGCAATGAAAACAAAATAAATACAAAATATATACAAGTTAAAAAGCACAGGTTAAAAGAGCAAACATAGACTAGCTGTTCAAGAGTGTAATAGCCCAGGGGAAGTAACTTACTCTGTGTCCGGTTGTCTTGGCGCACAGTGACCTGTAATGCCGTCCAGAGGGCAGGAGTTCAAAGAGTTTTTGCCCAGGATGTTAGTGGTCCGCAGAAATCTTCTCTGCCCTTCTTTTGACCCATGAGGTGTACAAGTCTTCTATGGAGGGCAGGCTGGCACCGATGGTTTTCTCCACAGTTCTGACTGTCCGCTGGAGTCTGTTCCTGTCCTGTTTGGTTGCTGAGCTGGATTGGCATTCGGTACACCCGCGCCAGCCCTTCTCCCCTTCCTACTTCTCCTCCACGTCCCGAAAACAGCTGCTGCACCGCCATCTAAAATGTTCAGACACCTTCCACCATCGATGAGAACTGGGGAGGAAGTGTCCAGACTGAGCTGTTGGATGTTCTGAAGCTATGACCTCAATTATAAACATAATTGAATTTATACATGACAATTTCACCAAAACTGAAATATTTTGAGCTTCGTAAACACAGATGTTAAGACGGAATGGTCGCATTAAATTGCATACAATTGCACAGGTGTACCTAATAAAGTGGCCTGTGAGTGTATATGTACAAATATTTTGAAAGTAATGATGCAAAACCTACCTGCCTCTCAGATTCTCCCCACCTGACTCCCCCTCGCTCATTTCTCAGTTTCAGACTGTTCAGCACTTCGCTGCACACAGCATGTTAATCTCTTGTTATGTGTCCCTTTGACATCATACATCACCAGTTCACAACTCATTGATTTCTACACACAAACATGCACACAAGCTGGAAGCTGAGACAGAGGAACAGTAATGGTAGAAGAAGATAAGCCTTTGCTGTTGTAATTGAGTTGATGCTAATAGAAATACTGTCAGCAGGCTATCAGTTTGGCATTCAAGTTTGGATGGAGAGGAAGATGCTAGCAATGAGGAGACTCGCCCATTTACAGGGGGGTGTGATGGGGAGGTTGTACAATGTGAATGCAGGCAGGGTTGACCAGCAGGCTGTATGGTGGCTATAGTAGGAATTTGCTGCAAGGCCCTACAATCCCAAGGGGCCAGTCACTTGGATGAGCTATTCTAGTGAGCTGTAATCCTCCTAGCCTTAGCTCTGAATGGCAGTTAATGTCAGGCTCAGGCCACTGCACACCATCACCTCGCATCAGAGCTGGACAGGTGTGACGAGAGTATAGAAGTACAGACAAATTTAGGAGCTGAGGCAGTGAAGGACAAGAATAACACAAGTTAGGTCAGTCCATCGTCTCATGCTGAGCAGCCAGTCATGTACTTTGTCTTCTGTCCCTGTTCTGTTACATGTGCGGAACAAGTAGTCCACAGTCATAGCAGCAGGTGATAACTGTGTCTGTCTGTAAGTGAATGAGCAGTTGGCGTTGCAGTCACATACATTTCCATAAATGTTCACATTAAGAATGAATAGGTGGTATCTGTTGTTGCTCTCTCTCACACCTCAGCATTTTTTCTCACCCCAGGATGATGTCCACGTCTAAATGGCCACTGAAAGTGTCCGAAGAACGGGTTCAGATGTATAGAGCCAGGAGAAACCAGTACCTATCTGCTGCCATAACTGATGGAGATCACGAGCCAGAGGTGGACCCCTATGCCTTTGAGGATGGAGATGTCAAGTTCACATTCTCCAACAAGAAGGATAAGGCAGGGGGGGAACGTGAGCCAGGCAAGAAACATAAGGTAAGGCAAGCCAAGTTGAGGAGTGAGGAGTATTTCTTAGCTGGAGTTTCATTTGTCCAGGCCTTGCAGGATTTAATGACTACATTGTACCATTTTTTTTTAAATGGCCTGAACTCCATATTTTGCTTAGTGTTGCCCTGGACAAGTGTATCCGATGGATGCCAGGGTAAATCAAAGGCCCTGCTACAGCTGTTGTATTTTGTCCTATCTATGCATGATCATAAAAATGGTATACAGATAAGTAGTAAATAGGTTGTGCAGCCTGGTTCCATAACACCAAACTGCAGTACCTTTATGTATTCTACATATTAGCTTCACTTTTAAACATTTAACCAAACACTTTACTGTGTGTTACATGCAGCATACTCAGAACTTTGACTGCACCTGTATGTTTTACTGTTTTACTTGGTGATAACAAAATGTTCTTTCATTTTCATTGTGATTTGTACAGTTGAAATGACAACTAGAATTCTAACTTTGATCTTGAAATTGTCATAAAGGCTGTGTGTTTATGGCTGCAACTCCATCCATCCATGTATTGTCTACTGCTTTTTTGGGGTTGGGTCACAGGTGTGCCAGGTTTAGTAGGGTGGTCCAGTTGTCCCTCTCTCCAACTCTTCCTGAGATACCTAAAGGCATTGCCAGGCTACATAGGATACTGTATATAGTCTCTTCAGTGGTTCTGGGTAGGGGTGGGATCATGTACAAGAGTACACATGCTGGATATAACGCTTGCTTAGTATCTTGTTATAACCAGAAGCCTTTCTCATTATAACAAGATACTTTTCTCGTTTTAATGAGATGTTCACGTCAAAACGTGATTTTTCTCATTATTAAAATGTACTGTATTTCTCCTTATAATGACATAGGCTACTGTACACAGCTTTTAGTGAGTGCAGCATACACACTCGCTCTGAGTAGTATGCTCAGTCAGTTCAGCAGCCTCTCTCTCATCAGCACCTCCTGTTTGAACTTTCCACACAGTGACGAGCGTTGCACCCAGGGGGTGCATTCTAGCCAGTCCTTGAGAATCACTGATCAGACACTTAAATCCACACTTCGGTTTTTATGCCACAAAATAACACATGAATGTAGCTCCTGAGCAAATACCCCTGCACATGTCCCGATTATGTTTCAGGCATTACTGACAACAGGTGAAGTCAGTGTGGTGGCTGTTACTCACACCAAGCTGTGCAGGGCTCACATTGGGGAGTAGAAATAATATGACCCACTTTATGGGTGTGTGATATCAGATAACTCCTTGGGCCAGAACATTTGAAACTACATAATATATGTTGTTTATGCAATGAATGCCAGACACAATGGCCTAATACGTGAGCAAGATAATTAAAAAAAAATGTATGCATGGTGCTTACAGTATTGCTGCAGGCACCACTGCTCGTATAACTTTACAGTTTTAACTGGAGTGTTCATAGTTCAGCTCTGCAGATTGCACAAGCTGACCTGCCTTCACCCCATCTGGTGTGGGTTAAATATAGCCCATAGATTTCTATTAACGCTCAATCACGGGAATCCCTCTGTTTCTTGCGCCATTCGTTTTCAAACTAGAGTCGAGTGTAAAGTCCCCATGTCATGTTCATTTCCAGCCATTTAATGTTTAATCTTGCGTACCTCTAGATTAGCTTTGCACCCCTCATAACTCCGAATAGTCTGCAATTACTTCAGAATGATAAAACCATAGAGCCTCTTCCTAAAAACGAGAGCATAGTTTGTGAATACGCACACCGCCTGTTGCCGGTGTTTTGTCGAGAGTGGACAGCACAGTGAGCTGCAACGGCATAAATTAATTTGAATTTCTCCTCCATAGATAGGTAAACAATGGTATATGTACACATGTGTAACACCCCAAACAAAGCGAGTAGTTTTGGTAGAAACCCCACATTTTAACTGGTATAGTGCAGACATAGTAACTTCTACAGCCTTCCAACAATTCTCTCTAACAGAAACAAGGCATTAACAGACATGAAATGGATTTTTTTTTTTTTTTTTACTTGCCATTAAGTCCCACCGCGTAGTGGAAACATCACTCCCTTTCAAGTAGCTCCAAGTAAGTCCAACCGGCAGTCGCTGTGTCTTCCCTCACACAATCACATACAGTCCAAAAGTAGTGAAATTAATTCTAGCAGATAGCATAGCACCGACAATAACATCATGGGTTGTTAATTCGCTGAATGACCAGCAACACATCACATGCAGCAGACACACTGACCTCATGCAGTCAAAAAAAAAACAGGCACTGTGCTCTGGGGGAATCCAGCATTGATGAGCTGATCATTCACAGCCCCAGGGTGCTTCACTGGACGGCTGCTTGTTGGTTAGACCTGGTCAGGTAAAACAGCGAGTCCCTGTACAGGAACATTCCCAGACATGCAGTAACCTTAGGCCCTGTATTTTTCTCCACATCCTCTGGTCACCGTGCAGCAACAGGAGAGAAAATATATCCACAAAACCAGGTGCAGTTGAAAAATTTGGCTTTTACAGTGGCACCTGTGGATGTTTTTTTTTTTTTTTTAAAGAAGATTTATTTAAAATATACATAACAAACAGTGCAATAAATCATTTTGCCAATATGGTGGGGGCACTTGTGGATGTCAGGCAAGCTCACATTCACATGCAACTGCCTTTAGATTAGGACTATTCAAGGAAATCCTTAAACTATCATTTAATATTTAATTTTGTTAGAAAAAACATCTTGTGAGTGAGAGTTTGCGTGATGTGTATAAACAGAGTTGCTTCTGCATAGAAATATTAGAAAATACGTACACCTCGGTTTTTGAGCTTTAGGTCACGTCTAACATGAAAATTAAGCATTGTAACATTGTAGATAAGTCAGCAGCAGTGTCACCTACAAAAGTTCTCGGATGACACTGCCATTGTTGGATGTGTATTTGGAGGGGACGAGGGGGAATACAGGGGGGTTGTTACTGACTTTGTGGAGTGGTGTGAGAAAAATGGCCTGGTCCTGAACACCAGCAAGACAAAAGAAATGGTGATTGACCCCCACTGGAAATCACCAGCACTCACGCCGGTGAGCTTGCAGGGCTCAGATATTAAGATTGTGGACACCTTTAAAAATACGTACACCTCGGTTTTTGAGCTTTAGGTCACGTCTAACATGAAAATTAAGCATTGTAACATTGTAGATAAGTCAGAAAACAAGTAGTCTGCAGCACGGGGGTGCCCCAGGGGACGGTGCTTTTCCCCTTTCTGTTCTCTACATGTTGGACTTCAAGTACAACTCGCAGCAGTGTCACCTACAAAAGTTCTCGGATGACACTGCCATTGTTGGATGTGTATTTGGAGGGGACGAGGGGGAATACAGGGGGGTTGTTACTGACTTTGTGGAGTGGTGTGAGAAAAATGGCCTGGTCCTGAACACCAGCAAGACAAAAGAAATGGTGATTGACCTCCAGCAGAAATCACCACCACTCACGCCGGTGAGTTTTCAGGGCTCAGATATTGAGATTGTGGGCACCTTTAAATACTTGGGTGTCCACCTCAACAATAAGCTGGATTGGACCAACAACACGGATGCCCTGTACAGAAAGGGCCAGAGCTGCCTCCACTTGTTGAGGAGACTGAGGTCCTTTGGTGTGTGCTGGGCACTCCTTCGGAGATTTTATGATACTGTGGTGGCATCTGTAGTTTTTTATGCTGTTGTGGGTTGGGCAGGAGGGAGCACGTACAGGGACAGAAAGAGACTCAACAAGCTGGTTATAAGAGCTGGTTCTGTCCTGGGCTGCTCTCTGTACTCCA